ATTTTTGCCGATAATAATTTCTGTACCCAAAAGCCTTCGAAAAATAATCATATTTGATCAATGCTGGAATACAGTTAACTTGTGGAATGTCGGGAGATCTTGTCGGTTGTACACGTAATTGGATACAAACACAATACTCCCGACTACTGACCATCAAGGATACGAAATAACCTAAACATTAAGTAGATGACCTTGGTAACATATGCACCGTCCCATTTCGAAAATAAATGAATACAGCTTCGATAAAATGTAAACTTGCAAGATGATCGCAAGATCAACAGAATCTGTACTTGGGTGCGACGGCTAGACAGCTCACTGAGAGTTTGTCACGTACGATGGAATCTTACGTCATGAATGGAAGAGAGCGGGCGAAGAGAGAATAAGCGAGCAGACCGTGAGATCGAAGTAAAGGAGGGACTGGGAAGAGAAGGAGGGACTAGGGAAGAGAAGGAGGGACTGGGGAAGAGAGGGAGGGACTGGGGAAGAGAGGGAGGGACTGGGGAAGAGAAGAAGGGACTGGGGAAGAGAGGGAGGGACTGGGGAAGAGAAGAAGGGACTGGGAAGAGAAGGGACTGGGGAAGAAGGGACTGGGGAAGAGAAGAAGGGCCTGGGGAAGGGAGGGAGGAACTGGGGAAGGGAAGGAGGGACTGGGGAAGGGAAGGAGGGACTGGGGAAGAGAAGAAAAGACTGATGAAGAGAGAGATTGGGGAAGAGAGTTGACGACTGGCGAAGAGAGGAAGGGCCTGGGGTAGAGAGCAGCCTCCAGACCCCATCTACAGGATCGATAGAGACAAGGTCAGGTCAGCAGGAAAGGTCTCGCAGAGGACAACGGGAACACCGGCCTGAGTGTGGCGGGCACATAAGGGCATCATGTACACATACTACATGGAAGGGCTTCAAGCACACATACATTACTACATTGTGTGCGTATACCATTAAAAATTACAATTACTGAGCATAACGTGTAAGTTTCGTCCATAGAGTCTTGTTATTTTCGGCGCTTTGATGCGAACTCGAATTTTCGAAACGCGACATTATACATGAAGTACGTACCATCAATACACACAATAGCTACGGTAGGGCACTTACGCCGCCACTACACTCTCGCCATAATGAAACCCGTGTTAAAAGTGAAGCTCTAAAGTATTATATTCAAGCCAAATAAACGATTGCTATGTAAAATATTCTCAACTGATACGAGTTCGGTATTTATCATAATGACATCCAATATACGTTTGATATGTATATAGATATATACATACCGGTATATAATTTGAGCAAGCACACAACATTCAACTACCGCTTCACAGTCATCTAATCTAGTGCAATATTGGTGACGGCGTCTTACAGATCAACATAAGACGGCGTCTTACAGATCAACATGCTAGATTTTTGATTTCATGAAGGCAGTTTGTGTTGTATTAGAAGTTTGAATGCAGTAGAAATTTGTATGCTTCTTATAATTAAATAGCAGGCACTGATATACAACAGGAATAAACTTTAAAACAGAGGTTTTACAACAACAATTCCATGTATTTGTCAAAAGGACAAACAATGGAGATTTACTGTAGGTATTTCTAATCTATTGCCCAATGCCCATTTCATTGACAACATATCACAGATATCCTTTGATTGAATCCATTATTAATGCATTGAAAGTCAAATTTCTTCAGCGAGACATCCAGCAATGAAATTCCATTCTCAAGTTCTAAATAGACCAAAGCTTCTTTGCTTATCACGACACAAGCAAAGTATGTATATATAAACTTAGGCTACTGTGTGTTCAAATCTTTGGCACTGTTTACAGAAACATTGTAAGCTCAGCAGGTTAAGCCATAGAAGAGCTATAATGGATCTAGTACAGCTTAGGAATATTTTTTTAAAGGATCAGTATTGTATACTTTGAATTTCTATGTGTAAAATGAAGGGCAAGGAATTGCCAACAGTAGCAGACAGAATATGGGAGATATGTTCTATCTTGACATCTATTATTATTAATTAGAGTAGATAAGTCAGGCAGAAAATCTATTTACAATGAGCTTGTTATTATTATGCAACATTTACAACAAATATAGTAGTAGTTCATCTTATTAATAATTCTGTGGCTAAACAGTTGTATCACCAAGTCTAGCAGCTCAAAATTTCTGCTCCAGTTCATGAAATAATGGAATGTCAACTGGAATAACTCACAGCAGCATTTGTGCAACTTAATCAAGTATTTAGGCAATTTTGCTCATAATTGAGTCAACTTTTTATACAAAGTACGGACTTTTCAAAACAAAAACTTATGTATTTGCTGAAATCATACTGGATGGCATGAGTCAGTTTAGTTTACAAAAATAACGAATCATGAAGGGTTAATTAATTACTATGCAGAAGGTATGTATATATACCTGCATAAAATAAATAATGAATGTTGACTACAATAAGTGAAAATTTCCTAAGGCCTTATAAACTGATACTATAATATATATTGATAAAACCAAGATTAAAAATAAAACTGTGGATCACTAGACAATTCCTTACCTAGCAATTGCTAGTATATATCATGCAAAACTAATGAGGTGGCAACTAGCCTAAGAAAAAAAATATTAATAGGCTTATGAAAAAGTTATTCTTCCTGTCTTAGCTTTGATCCTAAGCCACAGGTAGGGGCTACAAAAGTATTTCCTTAGCAAGACATAAGAGTGAGTTCATGAATTTTAAAGGTCTTGACAGTAGGACATGATCTTTATACAAGTTCCTGAGTTCCAGTCAGGTGCTTAGAAGGGCTTACTTCTATCTGTGCACAACAGCTACCAATAAACTACCGTAAAATGGGGTAACTTAGACTCCCGGGGTAACTTAGACCCCTTTTTGTTTTTTTAATAAAAACCCCCAAAACTCAGAAACTATTTGACATAGAAAAATTTTGTCAATGGGCATTAAAGGAATAATACTGAGGCTACGTAACACAATAGAAAGATTTAAAAAGTTTGCATATCTAATAGGTTAAAAAATTTAAAATGTGACCCACAAAAAAAAAAATATTTTTTAAAGCCTGTTGGAGTACCCCCTTTAATTTTTTTATTTTTTGGTAAAATAACTCCAGGTTTTGATGCATTGTAGTAGAACTTTTCTAATTACATATGCAAATGACAAATTTTAGTAAAGTGTCATAGTTTGCAATTGGGGGGCGCTGCCCCCAAAGGGGGAACTTAGACCACCTAATGTCAGCCCTGATGGGGTAACATAGACCGGCTTGGAAATTAATTTAAAATTACCATATATAACATATTTCATGTTTGATACACCTATTATGTTTTTTTATGTTTCAGACTCTACAGAGTCTTATATATGGTAATTTTTGCTTAATTTCCAAGCTGGTCAATATTACCCCTTCACAGCTGACATTAGGTGGTCTAAGTTCCCTCATTCAGGGGCAGTGCCCCCCATTTGCAAACTATGACACTTTACTCTAAATTGTCATTTGCATATGTAACTAGTAGAGTTCTACTACAATGCACCAAAACCTGGAGTTATTTGGAGTTATTTTACCAAAAAATATAATTGATTTTACCACCCAGTCTAAGATACCCCAAGAGCTGGGGTAACAAAGAGTCAAAGACCATCACTTTTTTAGAATTACATAAAAACTATGAGAGGCAGGAGCCAGCAATTTATGGTGAGTGAACTAGAGTATAGACCTGTATTTTGCATGTTTCAATTCAAGTTTAATTTAGCTAGTAAAAAAATGGCATCATTTAAAAAAAAAGTGGTCTAAGTTACCCCATTTTACAGTACGTATCAAGCTTGTCTTCATTTTTCAACAAATGATGATCCACATAATACATGATAAAATAATTCCTATGTTTGCATATTTTATGTCTACCTAGAAAGAATGCTGATATTCAGCTGGAGAAATCCTTGTATCCTGGGGAAAACACAAATGATAAAAAACCATAGATAAGGAAAAACCAAGAATTTAATGATTAATCCTAATGTTGTTAAACTTTATGTGGATTGATAGACAAACTTGATTGAAAAACATTTATACCTCAAAAAAAATTATGAATGAATTTTTTTTTTTATTCTTTGATTCAGTTATCCTATATAGATTATAGACCATAGAAAATATTGTAAGACTTAGCCAATAATCTAGTTAGAATAGCAGCAACATAATCATAAATTATTTTGACAAGGTTTTCAAAAAGAGTATTCAATTATAAATGGTATTTTAAATTATTGATTTTTAATTCAATTTTAATTTCCTGTGATGGATAGCCAATCAGGCAAGATTCATGTTCATAATAGATACATACTAATTAGTCTATTTTTCACAAGCAGATGAAACTTGTATACCCATACAACATTCACAATGAATTTTAATTTAGAAATATATGGTAACAGCTTCTGGTAATCTCTGTAGGTGTATGGCATAAGTTTTTTTGAAAAATGGCCAGTAAGTTTCTGAGCTTACCCTGGGTAGATTAGAATCATTACATTGGTGTCAAGTGTCCTGTGTCAAATTGTCAATTACCCAAGACTAATAAAGTCACCCCAGACCTAGCTATGTTAACTTGAACAATGTTAATGTATATAAAAAAAAAACTTTAATTACGTTTTGTAGTAAGATCTAGAAAGTTTTACTTTGTTCAAGTGCACTAAATACATTTATGATCAGAAATACATGGTTTTCATTGATAGGCAGCGAAATAAGTGATGGCGACTTACTGACTTAGGCCTGTCACACTTACGACTTCACGCTAGCGGTCGCGTTACTCGGGCAATCCATTACGCTCACCTAGTTAATAGCACAAGCTTACTCAAGCATTGTTGCGTTGATCGTAGTTGATTACTTCATTATGCAAGGTCATGATATTATGCACGTTTAAGAAAGATAATTCACTTACACTTTCGCTGAAAATTCGTCTGTTAAAAAGAAAGGAAAAATAGTATATCGATAATTCGCAACCCAGTAGTAGGTATAGTGGGTTACTGTGGTGGGTATAGGTACTCACCTTTTCGTTAACTTCAGTGTTAATTATAGGAGGCATTTCTTCTAGCAATTTGGCAGTTACTTCAGCGATGTACACGATACTCTCTTCTTGCAAAATGTCTACGTCGTCTGTTTCACTTGCTGATATTTCTTCGTTTCCACGAGTCTCGTTTTCGCTACTATTTATTTCTTTGCTCACAATAACTTCTTCTATTAGATCTTCAGTATCACTCGCAAGTTCATTTCCGGCCAAAGTTATTCTTTTAGGTACAGTGTCCTTAGATTTTGGAAAAAAATACTGAATCCAATATTTGAAATGAGGGACCACTATTGAACGTAACGTGTTCCAGATGCGCAAGAGCATCAACCCTCTCTCGTCGCTGTCAGCCGCTGCAACTAACTCCATACTCGTGCGACAGGCTTATATATGTCCATGTGAGGTGATAAGAATAACTCGATTTTTAAATGAATTATTATTTTTTCGATTTCTGGGAAAATATACAGACTGACATAGCCAGAGGACTATCGGAGACATTAATACCTTAAAAATTAAAGATAGAAATATTTTTCCCACAGACTCCGGTAACAATAGCAATGCATTTGTTATCAATTTAAGCAACTTTCCAGATAACCTAACATTTTTGCGTTCACATGAATAGATGTTAACAAATGTCATTAATTGAATAAGTAGAATTCATACAGAAAAATAAGTAGAACAATGTCTGATTCCGATAGTACTATAAATATGCAAATAGTTATCGCGAGAGATTTAGAAATTGTTACCTATATAAACGTTTAACATGTTAATAGGCATAATAGCACCATTTTTTTGCACTTCAAATTTTTCAGTTTTGATGTGGTGACATTGTTGTCCCAGCACTCTAGTGCCGCATTCTAGACTCTTTTCCTGAGAACTGGTAAAATGTTGCATTAACAACATGACTGTGTGGTTAAATTTAAATATGAACTACGAATCCATTTTGATCTTGAAGGAAGCTTATAATATAATTGACTGGATATGACTAATTTTAGAAGGCAATAGAAACAGCTCCCAACGTTTGTGGCAAATTTGCAACTGAGCTTTGAGAGAATGTGCTGGCTAGTCTTCTAAGTCACCTTGAACGCGCTCATGCCTTGGCACCGAAATCTTGTTGAACTAACTCGAACTAAATATAGAATGATACTCTAATGTTGTGTATAAATTCGCTTTATGATTGTACTTTACTTTTCGTGGTGCAATGTACTCGATGCACAATGAAAAAGGTCACTTCTAGGTTTGCATCGAGTCGAGCCGGTGTTGCGTGATGTAAGAGAGAATCGCATTGGCTGGCAACCATGTGAACGGGGGTGTGGCGCTTCCCGGCCAATCAATAGACTCGGCAGCGGCTGATGAAATCTCTCCCACGTAAGGATTGGTTGTTGAACGTTCGAAAAGAGGGGAGTGTGCAACACGCCCTTATAGGTTGAGGAGCGTATTGGCGGAATGACCGAACAATTTCAAATTATGTTCTCATGTTAATCGAACCATAATTGGGCCAGAATTATAAATTTAAACATACTATATTAATCTCAGGAAAATATATCTTATCATCTCAGGTATTCAAAATAACGTGGTAGAAGTAAATATTCAGCGAGAAGTGAGTGTAAACAACCAGAAGGAAACTATGCAAAAATAGCATCTTCAAACTAATAAGTTAAATTATTTTGCCTTCATCACCGTCAGTCCTTTCGCTCTCCCTTCGGCTATTCTTCGAACTGTGTTTTATTCTTCGAACTGTGTGCATGAAATTCATATATGATCCTCAAATTTACAGTTAAAATAATATGCGTATAAAAATTACAGTACTTGTTAAAGACAACACTTCTAAAGAGGCCAGTGTATCCGATTTTAACCATGTACAATGAATTTCTAATTTAATTTCAAATATTTAAGAGAAAAAATTATTTTTTCGCTTTTCCAATATATAAAAAAGTTAATTTTTTACATTATTTATTCTGTCAATTGATTTAAGTATTGTCGCCGACTTTAAGCAAGAGTGCAAAATTTCAGGTCGATTGGACAAGTAGAAATGTGTTAAATATCGGTTATCGGATTTGTAACAAACAAACAAATAAGTGAAGTTAAAGAGAAGTGTTGTAATATTAGGTAAGAGAGAGGTACTCTTTTAAACGAGAGGGTTTATTTTCAGCGTGATTATTTTAATGGGGTAGGTGTCCCGACATTTTTGCAATCATGTTCGGGCCATGAACAGGAACCCTAAATGTTCAGATTAATTGTACTATTTCAACCAATTTATCATTTTTTTTCATTTGTACCTACAAGAGTTGGCTTCTATAACCAAATTATCCCTTTTAATTAAATTAAATCAGCTTATATATCTACTGAAAATCGCCTTAGGAATCGTGGAGGTTTTAATCAAGATCATACATAAAACTATCGACTCGACAAAACATATTAATTAATATGTTTTGGAATTATTAATCAATTTTTTTATACCCGCTCTGTGCGACTCACAAAAACGAGTTAGGGAATGTAAACAATGTTAATCATGACATAGATTTATAAATAACAACAATTAGCTACGGAAATTACACAGATTATGTCAAGAGAAATACGTCAATGTTAACCGTTATCGTTATCGATATTCTGAGAAGATTTAAATGCATACGCTACACTGAGCTACATTAATGTGAAGCCACTCTCCTTAAACTCATTATCATACTTGTGATTCTGTTATATTTTCGAATTCTATATCAGTTGATTAGTTGAGTCACCTGTCGGATAACTAAGCTGGGTTCGGATTTAGACAAGAGGGAGACTAATCAGGTCTCACGCGACTAATCCAGTCTTCTCTGAGTTTACTTTATCAGTGAGAAAAAATATCTATCTAAAGTATGGCTTTGCACAAAATTCTGCGAACGTAATGCACGCACACTTTGAAAATCTACTAATTTCATTAATTTCCACGTTTCCATAGAATTGTAAATTTTAGTATCTAAATCATGTTATACGACATGTGGCATCGTATAGATGAGGCAAAATGCAAAACTTCTTGCCATGCGAAGGGAAAAGGCGAGGCAATGTTTTTTAAATGCAAACTCAGATATGAGCTCAAGTTACTGAAGGAGTTACCAGTAATTTGAAATTTGTTAATAAAACAGTTCAATAGCAGTTAAAATTTCCTTTCTAGATAGAATTTTTTGAAATATATGATGTATTTTAGATACCATAGTCTAGCGCGCCTGAGAACCCAAGAATTAACGCGCGTATATAATGATTCCATGAGAGTCATTTTGCAATGTGTATGTCATCTTTATTCCTGTTTGTTAAATGAATATTTAAAATACAATAATTTTCATTCCGACTTAATATTGCACTTTCCGACTTAATATTGCACTCTGCACAGTAATACATGGAATTAATAAAAAGAATTGCCATTAAATGTTTTGAAAAAGTCGAGCTCGTTCAACATCGCCACCGGGCTTTTTCCGTTCAGTCAATATATATATATAGCAGCGGATGACGGGGAATATTTCAGTCAGGGCAATCCCGTTCTACACATTAATCACTAGACAAAAAAAAATTTGTTTTGGCCACGCAAATTCTACATTTTGCTCATCGGAAAAAGAGTCACTTGAACTTTTATAAGTCCACAACATTATAATTAGAATAACATTTTACTATTGCTAAATTTTAACAACCTTCATTCAAATGGAAGAACATGTCTGCCGGAAGAATCAACATAGCTCGAAGGCTATCAAGGGAAGTTGCATGATGATGGATCCACAATCGTGCAATTTAATTTCAATTTTTAGGTATAAATCGGCCTCTAACTTTTTCTAACAAATTTTTTTCATACTATCTATTTTACGCTTATGTGAAAGTGACGGAATCTCATCGTATTGACATTTTTGCTTTGAACTAATTCTTACTTTTTTCGTGATCAATGAAAATTCTAGCGCAACATGAGTAATCAAAACGGTTTCAAGTTTTGAAGCAGTAGCCGGAGGTCAATTTAATTCGCCTATGGAACATTTATACTGCAATTTTACAGAGTTGAACCGAATAAATATTGAATTCGTATAATTACGCGAAGCAATGGATAATGTTAAAAATCATTCGTTTATTCAGGGAATAGTCTGGACAAGTTTTATATATAGTCATAACTAGAAATTAAAGCATTTACCTGAATGCTCTGGGCGAGCGATTAAGCTCGAAATTGACGTCAAGCAGAACGTATTTTTGCACTCGATCGAGTCATTTCAAGTGTGATTGGACGTCCGCTGCTCGATGAGTTCTTAAGCGCAGTCACATTAAGACAACTGATTGCTGATATATGCAATAGCGCGTCATGTGGAAAGTGCAGTCACATCGAGACCTTTGATTGCTGATATATGCAATTGCGCGTCATGTGGAAAGTGCAGTCACATTAAGACAGCTGATTGCTGATATATGCAATAGCGCGTCTTGTGGAGAAATCCGAAGCTTACAATCTTGTGGTGTCAACATTTTCCTGGAAAACGTTTCCCGCTAACCTAATCGTGGAATCCCGTCAATCGATTTGCTTAAATTGAGTTGTTATCAATGCGTTTCCAGGTAATAAATTAATTCCTCTCAAGACTCGTGCGTATCCGTAATAGATAACGTAAGCGAAGATGATTACGCAGATTTTGTGTGTTAAAGTGGTTGGCAGAAGACGACAACCTCAGTGACGTCAGAACGGTTATCGGGGCAAGACCTACATCCGTTAAGCCGGGTTGATGATGATGAAGCTCTTCACACTTGTCAGGAACGTGGTAGATAATTTTTATTCGTATATAGAAATGTGTTAATAACTTTGACGTCGTCCCGTGAGACTGACAGCTAGGATAGAGTTATTTTCCTTGTTTAGTGCTGTTGCTCTTGAGTTCGCAGTGAAACGTATAATGATGCGCACAGCACTCGATTTCCGTTACGTAATTTATGCTGCACTTACTGCTGCTATCATGAATTCAATAAGTTTTTCCTATTTGGAACATGAGTGACATTATGATGCATAAATACTCCATGACATTGTGATTTGGGTATCAATTTACGATTACCTAGATTGCTCATAACGAGGCAATTAAAGAAGATTTTAGTACCCAGCCTCCTCATAACGAGGCAATTAAAGTTATCAATAGGTCAATATTTTTAAAATTACAGGCAAAAATTCATAGGGATTTTTTATATCATCAGATCATGATGATTGCGAAAGAAAAAATCTAGGATAATTGACTAAAAAAATTGTAATCGTAAGTTACATTGGTGAAAAAAGTTCCATTAGGATACAAAATGTAGCTCCGGAGCAAACTAGAGAACACTTCAGGAATTAGTAAGATAAATTTTCCGCACTGAGCATTCCCTAAAAAAAACTAAGCGTACGCATGAACCGAAGACATTGGTTATTAGCTGACAGTCTGTACTTGAATGGACAGGTTTGCAATATGAATGCCGCAACGGCATGTAGTCAACTTAAAAACGCAGCTCTATTTCAGTTAAGGCTTAAGGTATTTAAATAAACTTTCATTTTAGTACGGATTTAG